AAAGCCTGGAAGGGATGGAGCTTATAAACTACGTGAGACGAAAGTTGGCAATGAATGAGACTCTAGGGTATTAAAATGCAAATAACCTAATTATTTACCTTTAGCCCAAACCCAGCCCATTAAAATCTTAGGCCTCCCTTCAAATATACAGCCCAACCAATGCCACTTCTTCTATTTCTTCATCATTTCATTTCAAAAAAGGACAAGAAGATTTTGAAAAGGACAAATTTTTGAAACCGACCCTTTTTCAACTTTATTGGGCAAAATCGACCCCGTGGAAAAAAAATAGGCAAAACCGACCCTTTTCAAAAGAAAAGGGTCGGTTTTGCAATTGTGAAGGTTTTATGAAGTGCACGGGACTACTAGTCCCGTGCACTTTGTTTCCAGCAGGCTCTCTCGACAACGAAGTGCACGGGACTAGTAGTCCCGTGCACTTTGTTTCCAGCTTAAAAGAAATGGGGATGAAGATGTACTCGAACTGAATTTTCCCTTATGTTGTCCAATACGCAAATATCAATTGGTGAATTGCTAGCTAGGGAAAGCTCATTGCCCCCCACCGAACCAACATTATATAATAAATTGTCAAGCTTGATGTGAGAGAGTTGATAAAATGGGGAAGGTTAAGATGATGACCTTCGCGTGCATCATAGCCAATGGAAACAGTAACCAATACCCATTTTTCTTCTATAAACAAGGGAATAGTTGAGGTCTTTCCAAGGTAATAGAAGGCAACTAGACATTTGAATTGAAGGGCTCTTGGAAACAAAGTGCACGGGACTGCTAGTCCCGTGCACTTTGTTTCCAGCAATCTCTCTTGACAACGAAGTGCACGGGACTAGTAGTCCCGTGCACTTCGTAAAACCTCCATAGTTGCAAAACCGACCCTTTTCTTTTGAAAAGGGTCGGTTTTGCCTATTTTTTTCCCATGTGGTCGATTTTGCCCAATAAAGTTGAAAAAAGGTCGGTTTCAAAAATTTGTCCTTTTGAAAATTTGAACAACGGCTCCAAACGCGCTTCTCTTTTAATCTCCAACCATTTTCAAAAAATTAGGGTTTTGCCTAATCTCAGACAAACTCCAGCAGTCCAGCTACAGCTCCTTAAAAAAAAAAAAATCTCAGCTTTAGGGTTCGCGACTTCAAATTTCAAAGGGGACCGACCAATCGATGTCTCTGACGCCAAACCCTAGTCGAAAGCTAGGGTTTTCCTTAGCTCCTTCGCCTTCTCCATTCTGGACTGTGAGATCGGAGAAGAGGTCGGCGGATTTGAGATGGGCTGATGGAGGAAGCTCCGCCAATGGCCGCGCCATGAAAAGGATCGAGAGGCCAGCGTTCAGGTTATACTGAGATGCAGGTACAATTTTACTGTACTAGGTTGTAGCATACATCTATTATCTAAAAACTTTGAAATTTGAATGTTGTTTCTCAATATAACTTAATCCCATCAAAACCTTAAATTTCTAAATAAAACTTTCCGATGTACTAACTACAAGAGTTTAATCGTACTGTGGGAACAATTACTGACAGAATCCAAACCTGGGAGTGTTATACATAACAGCTTACTGATTTGGATCTTTTGGGGTTGTTTTCATGTTGTGAATGGTATGTGATCTCTGTATATGTTTCATCATCATCCTTTGGTTGGGGATGATGGTGTTGTCTTTGTAACCAACCAGGTTTAGTGCAATGGTGGTGGCTGGGGGATCTTTTGAGCCCCCATCCTTTATCTCCAAAAAAAAAAAAAAAAAGAGGAACAGTTTAATATTTTAAAATTAAGAAAGACAAAAGAAAGGATTCCCCCCCCTAGAAACCACCTAAACAATAGGGTAATTATACGAAAACCACATTTTATTTTTATTTTATACATAAACCACATTTAAAGTAGGTTTTTGTTGCAACCAACCATCTCTTAGTCAAAATTTCACTAAAAATCTAAAATTAAGCTTAAAATGTTCAAGTTCAAGGTAAGTGAGTTGTATCATAACAAGACTAAACACTAAAAAGATGAGTCGTGTATGTTGAATACGAGTTTTTTAAGGGAAAATTTGGGTTTTAAGTGATTAATTTTAAATGGGAGGTGGTTGATTGCAACAAGAACCTACTTTAAAGGTGGTTTATTTATAAATTAAAAATGAAAGGTGGTTTCTGTGTAATTACCCTATTTTAAGGTGGTTTATAGGGAAAAACCATTATAAAATTATTATTTCGATTATAATTGCATGTTGGTATTCTAGTTCTAGTTCGTTTCATCATCTGGAGCAGCTAAATTTTCATTTGATTAATTTATCATAGTAGGGAATTTAGCACGATTGTGTTTGATAACTGAAGGAACCTGACTTTATAAGTGGAATGTTGTTCTTGGTGTTTGTGGAGGGAGGTCCAGAAGGGGCAGGTTGATGGTTGACAGTTATATATTTCTTGATCGCATTTAATACTTTGCGATAATCATTCGCATTTAATACTTTGCGATAATCATTCTCTGGTGATCAATTTCCCAAATTGATTTTGTCATTAAATTGTGAGAGAATTGTTGAACACCAAGAAAGTCGATATCAAGAAGACATTTTGGAAACTGTTAAAGATCTTAGCAGTTCATTTACAACTGAAATAGTACTGAGTCTACAACCAGACAAATCAACGTCTTCAAAGTTGAAGGAGAAACGGTATTACACTGGGTACAATAGGGGGTTAAATATTGCTAATGGTTTGATATTATTCACAATGTATTTTTCATTGAATGCTGAGTAGCTTATTTTCCTTTTTTTACAAGGCCATTGAGTGATGAAGAAAATAGAGTTAATGTTCAGAAGGTGCTATCATGCAATGAACAAAGGAAGGAGGTTGTTGTTCTGCTAAATAAACAAGCAGAGAAGACATTTACCTTCGACAAGGTGTGGTATTATTCTTTGGGGTTAAGTTTTGCTGATTATGATCACTAATATGACTCAGGAACTAGCTCTTATTGAAAATTTCTTCTAATTTTCATACTTTTTGAGTAGGTATTTGGTCCTAAAGCACTACAACGTTCAATATATGACCATGCAGTATCACCTATTGTCAAAGATGTACTAGAAGGTTTCAATTGCACAGTATTTGCTTATGGACAGACAGGCACAGGGAAAACATACACTATGGAAGGTGGAATGAATTCAAAGGTGCGTGTGAGCACAAGAGTGATTTATATTTTGCATCTAAGCGGTTTACATGGTTATTTATTATGTACTCCTTTTATTCAAGGGTGGAGAATTATCTGTTGAGGCTGGTGTAATTCCAAGAGCCATCCACCATATTTTTGATACACTAGAAGCAAGAAAGGCTGACTACAGTGTGAAAGTGACTTTCTTGGAGCTGTACAATGAAGAAATAATCGATCTGTTTGCTTTGGAAGACCACAATAGATATGTGGAAGATAAAATGAAGAAACCAATTTCTTTAATGGAAGATGGAAAAGGTGGTGCGGTTATAAGAGGTTTAGTGGAGGAGGTTGTCTATAGTGCAAATGAAATTTATAATCTATTACAACGGGGTTCGGCTAAGAGGCGGACTGCAGATACTATTCTAAACAAGCAGAGTAGGTATGACCTTCTCTTTATAATTTTTTGGTCTCAAAGATTGTATATCCACTATTATGTGACATGTAATCTGCCTGTGCAGCCGTTCACATTCAGTCTTTTCTATTACCATCAATGTGAAAGAAGCAATTATAGGAAATGACGAGCTCATAAAATGTGGTAGGCTAAACCTTGTTGACCTGGCAGGCTCAGAGAATATATCTCGATCAGGAGCAAGAGAGGTATGAAGTACCATGAAACTTTTACATGTTGGTAGATAAAGTGGTGACTTCTGCTCCTTTAAGCATCCACTTTAAAGTACAAAGCAAGAGTAACAAAACCATCAATCCCTAAACACTAGAAAGCGTTTTGATATATGAATCATGTGATCCAATAGAAATCTACCCTGTAAAAATGTGTTAAAGATAAAGTCATTTTTTTTCTTTCAACTGTAAGAGGCTGTTTGTTTGCCTAAAAAAAGAGGGAAATCAAAGAATAGAAAACCTATTTCTAAGAAAAATTGTTTTGAGATTGTTTGGTTGGCTAAAAAAAGAAGGAAATCAAAGAATAAGAGATGAGTTGTCACATTATTATTGGAGGATGTGGGTGATTTTTTAAGAAAATTGCTTTTGAGGTTGTTTGGTTGGCTAAAAAAATAAGGAAATAAATTATAAGAAACCTATTTTCTGTAATAGGTTCTTTTCTTGTGTTTGGTTCATTCATAAAAATAAGAAAATAGATGAGATGTGATGAGTTGTCATTATATTATTGGATGATGTGACCCACTCTTAAGGAAATCGATTCCTAGCTTTTTTAGGGGAAATGGGTGGAAATGAAATGTTAATGAGATGAGATGAGTTATCACCATATTATTGGATGATGTGAGTGATTTTTAAAGATGAGATGTGATGGAGATGAGATGAGTTGGATGATGTGACACATTTTTTGTGTTTGGTTTATTTTTAGGAGATGATATGAGATGAGTTGTGGGATGAAAATAATATTTTATTGGATGTTGTGGTGAGTTTTAGGGATGGAAATGGATAAAAATAATATTTTATTAATTTCCATGTATCCTTTTCATTTTCTTGATTTTTAGGAAACCAACCAAACAACGCCTAAGTTTAATAGGCATACTTGGCCCTGAGTAGTCAATTTACCCTTAAAAAAATTTCTTTAGACAAGGACGTAAAGAAATGATAGCCGGTGGGCTCTTACTTTGCCTATGGAGAGTTTTCCCGTTGAAGTTTCTGTTGTTTGCGCGTCTCATACATACAAACGTCCTATGTTAAGAGGACATATCATATCTGGATTCAGTATGATGCCACGAGTAGAATCAACCATCGAGTTTTCTATATTGAGAGTAGTTTTTTACTATTGTTTACTCCCATATCGGTTAGGGGCAAACTTTTTTGTTTTCTTGAACACTATAAATAACATCTTAGAGAGAGCTAATAAACTCATTAGGGTTTTCCAAATTACACGGTATCAGGGCCACCCTTTTTCTCTCTCTAAATTTATAAACCCTAGCCGCCACCTTCCACCCCTCTTAAACCCTAGCTGTCATCCTCCACAACCAAACCCTAGCTGATACTATTCATCCACATAGATACTGTTTATTGGGCATTATTCATCTGTCGTTTAAAAAAAGTTAAGCTAATCATTTAGCTTATTAACTAAATCTTCAGCTAATCATTTAGCTCATCAACTAGATCTTTATAGATCTTTAGCTAATTATGTAGCTTACCAACTTGATCTTTATAGATTTTCAGCTAAATATTTAGCTTTATGTTACGATCAGTCGTTAACAATATCTTTGAGATAAATGATAAGTCATTCTTTACGGGATGATTTTACTTATTGAACTAATTCTTGATTAGTTGTTAATGATTTGATTATTGGAAGTAATTTATTGTTGAGTGAGGTTAATAGTTGAAGGATCTTATTTGCTGTATTAATATCATCCTCCATTAATTCTGTTGATGAGATAAAGACCCACACGGAGGTGCCCTTTAGCAGGATCACTGACAAAAAATTGAATGAGTCCAATTACCTACTTTGAAAGCAATTGGTTCGAGTTTATATTTTAGGACGGGAAAAAGATTATCATCTTAATATCTTACAGATAACCCTCCCGTACCGATTACTACCTCCTAAAAACAGGATGACACTAGTCAACTTTATCAACTTTGGAACAACATGAAACCACAGGTTCTTCAGCTAGCAATTCACTGTAGTACATTGAAACAACTTTGAAAGTTCTTAGAATAATTGTACTCATGCCGGGGACACGCCAATCGGGCGTATGACGTCATTCAGGAGTTATTTCGGAGCAAGATGGACGAGTATAATCAGACTTTTGAGGAGCATTATAACAACTTCAATCGCGTCGCAAAGGAGCTGAGACAGATTTTTCCTATTATGGGGGATATTCAGAAGATGCAAGATTAGTAGGATCAACTGATAGTATTCACCTTTCTTGGTTCTCTTCCACAATCTTATAATTCAGTAAGGTTGCTGATAGCGGATAGTGACGCGTCGTGGTAAGGTATCGCTAAGGCTATTTTGGACTATTGCAGCAAAATAGCGGCAATAGCGTTTAGTCAAATAGCGATCAAATATAAATATATTTAAATATTTTAAATAATAAAAAAAATTATATAAAAAATCTAAAAATTCTACAAATGCATACTTGATGCCTAAATATAAAATAGATGTGTAATAATTTCATAATATTAACAAAGTACTATAATTATAAAGATTAAAGAATAAAAAACGTACATGTTTATCAAAAAGACCGTTATTTGTCCAATTTCTTCAACTTTCAAGTCTCTAATATAAAAATGTTCAACAATAAAAAACATTAATTAGTAACATCATCATTATATTAACTATTAGAAATTTGACATAAAAAATAAAATAGCCAAGTATAGATAAATGATTAAATGAGCAAAGCAATATAATATCATGATAGATAATAACAGTCTATAGATACTAAGCAAGCAATAAAGACCAAGTTCCAAACACATGACATGTCCAAACTCCAACTCAAAACTCAAAAGTCTAAATCAAAGCAAAATAAAAGCTAGAAGTCTCAAAAGTGAAGTGACTAAAGTCTAAATTCGAGCAATGACTCATCATCACTCATCCTCCTCCTCATCATCAGCAATGCCAAGCAGCAAAATCTCATCTCTCAAAGCATCCTCATCGCTATCGTCATCGTCAAGTTGGATATCCTCCTTATCTGAGTTTGAGTCATCAATAGGTCCCTCCTCATCGTCCTCTGAATCTACCTCTTCATGGGCTCTTGAACTAGAAGCCCTATTTGCCCTCCTTGTGGTCCTCTTCGGCTGCAAGAACTCGTCTGTTCCAGCTGCTTCAGAGATAATTCCGAGTGGAATCTCAGTCCCTGGATAATAATCCTCTTCCTCCTCAGAGTTATATCCATGCACCACTCATGAAGACACGTGCCGACCGTCTTTAGCAAGTAAGGTGTCCTTCTTTCTATTCTTTCTTGTTGTATCCATCTTAGTTCTGATCCTCAAATTGAATTGCACATAGACTAGATTGCTCAATCTCTTGCTATCGAGCTTATTTCATTTCTTTGTGTGGATCTACATTCAAACATAAAAATATCATTTCTTTCAAATTATCATTTTATCATTTATTGTTCAATGACTTCAAATTCAATCTCATTTTTTTAATATGAACATTTGAATATGAAAATTAAAATAAGGTAGTGACTGAGTGATTACCCCTACAAAACAACTCCAGTTTCTTTCATATCCAGAGGAGCTACATGTCAATCTCAATATCCTAAGAGCCATCATTTGCATGTAAGACGTGTCTCCATCAAATGTGTCCCACCAATGAGCTATTTCAAGAGGGTAAAACAAATTAATCAATTAATTGATTTGATTCAATCTCAAAACTAGCAAATATATATCAAAATATAAGTCAATACCTGGATTACGGTCCTCAGCAATTCTTTTCACTACTCTCTGTGCTCTTGGCTTTCCATGGATAAAAGCATGACAGTCCCTATACTTCAACATCTCAGTGGAGTAGATAGTATCAACAACAGCCTCATCAATAGTATCTTCATTCCTAAAAAATAGCTCAGCACAACCAAGAACTACATGCTTAGCTTCTGCACTCTTCTTAGCCACCTCATCCTCCGCATAATAGAAAAGAGGATTTAAGAACCATGCAGCTAGGTGAAGAGAACTATCAAGCCTATTCTTAGTATGCTTATTTATAATGGATATGATAGGCATATAGTCATTCTCTGTCTTCCAAGCAGTCATGATTTCCCTCTTCACTATTTGAAGCTCTAATAATAAATCCCATTGAGGGACAAGTATCTGAATCGGCCATGCGAAGAAAATTTAAAAGAGGCGTGAAGACCTTCAAGCAACTCCTCACACCTCTCCAGAAGGTTCTCGATATCACCGTAGCATAAAAGAGGCGTGAAGACCTTCAAGCAACTCCTCACACCTCTCCAGAAGGTTCTCGATATCACCGTAGCATTTGCTGTAAGAGCTTTCTTCTTTGCTCCTCACACCTCTCCAGAAGGTTCTCGATATCACCGTAGCATTTGCTGTAAGAGCTTTCTTCTTTGCAACCCCAACAAATTTCAAACTCATAAACTCATCTGAATTAAACATAGTCATCTGTGCATCCTTCTTCTCCAATAGACTCCCTAGTGTGAGGAATGAGGTATCAACTCTAGTGATGTCCGGACTGATAATGTCCTTCCTCCTCGTGCACTTACGCATAAGTGCCAAAGTCTTGGTGCGACTATAGATAAAAATAGTTAATGCTGTTGCCTTCTCAATTATATTCTTAAATTTTGTTAATTTTTCAATGTCCTGCAACACGAGATTGGTTGTGTGCGCCGCATAAGAAGTCTAAAAAATTCTCGGCCTCACTTTTTAGCTTCTCCTTTGCAGCCATGTTCGCTAAGTGATTATCGGTGATAACTTGTGCAACATAGTCTACCCTTATCTCCTGGATGCACTGATCAACCCACTTAAAAATAAAATCTCTGGCATGAGATTCAACAGACTCCTCTATCGAGTTGTAGAAGATAACTCCAGCACTAGAATGAATGCACATGTTCTTAACACATCTATGTTTTCGATCAATCCACGAATCTGTCATCAATGTGCAGCCGGTAGTCTCCCAAAACTTCTTATGTGGCTCTAAACCAACTAAAGTACGAGATATTGCCTTCTTCAAC